GTAAACTTTATGCAACTTTTCACAAGCTTGACATGCGTTCTTCCCTTTATGGAAGTAAAACAGTAAAATATGGCAAAAATGCACAGTTTGGTCTTCTATCTTCAACTTGTTGTAAAATCTCCAAAACTCAACCAAATCGCTCAATTTTTTTTTTTGGAATGAAACTAGAACTGCCAGCTGTCAAATGACATAGCAATGACATAGATGCGAATGACTTTAGTACTTCCATAAATGAACTAGTGCTATCTGTTGCAAACATGTGTCAAGACTTTTCCGACAATCCAGTATAAGTGAGATCATATAGTATTTGTCTTTCTCTGACTTATTTCACTTAGAATAGTACCCTCGAGCTCCATCCATGTTGTCACAAATGGCAAGATTTCCTTTTTTGTTGTGGCTGGCCAATATTCCATTGTACAGATAATGCCACATTTTCTATCCATTCACCTATTGATTGACACTTAGGCTGCTTCAAGTCTTGGCTATTGTAAATAATGCTGCAATGAACATGGGGGTACAGATGTCTTCTCGAGTTAGTGTTTTCGTTTCTTTCAGATAGATACCCAGAAGTAGAATTGCTGGATCATGTGGTAGTGCTATTTTTAATTTTTTGAGGAACCTCCATAATGTTTTTCATAGCAGCTGCACCAATTTCCATTCCCACCAACAATACATGAGGGTCCCTTTCCTCTACTTCCTTGCAAATATTTGTTATTTCTCATCTTTTTTATAACAGCCATTCTAACAGGTGTGAGGTGATATCTCCTTGTGGTTTTGATTTGCATTTCCCTGATGATTAGTGATGTTGAGCACCTTTTCATGTGCCTGTTGTCCATCTGTATATCTTCTTTGTAAAATTGTTATTCTGATCCTATGCCCATTTTTTAATCAGATTGGGGTTTTTTTATTTGTGTTTTGCTTTGTTTTTTGTTTTGTTTTGTTTTTGCTTTAGTTGTATGTGTTTTTATATATATTTTGGATATTAACCCCTTGTCAGATATATGATTTGACTTACAAATATTTTCTCCCATTTGATAGATTGCCTTTTCACTTTGTTGATGGTTTCCTTTGCTATGCAGAAGTGTTTTAGTTTGATGGAGTCCCATTTGTTTATCGTTGCTATTGCTGCCTTTGTTTTCGGAGTCAAATCCAAAAAAATCATTACCAAGGCTGATGTTAAGGAGCATACCCACCCATGTTTTCTTCTAGGAGTTTTATGGTTTCAAGTCTTATATTCAAATCTTTAATCCATTTTGAGTTAATGTTGGTATATGGTATAAGACAGTGGTCCAGTTCCATTATTTTGCATATAGCTGTCCAGTTTTTCCAACACCATTTATTGAAGAGACTATTCTTTCCCCATTGTATATTCTTGGCTCCTTTGTTGTAAATTAATTTACTATATATGCATGGGTTTATTTCTGGGCTCTCTAGTCTATTCCCTTGATCTATGTGCCAATACGATACTGTTTTGATTACCATAGCTTTGTAATATAGTGTGAAATCAGGAAGCATAATGCCTCCAGCATTGTTCTTCTTTCTCAAAATTGTGTTGGCTATTAGACTTGATTTTTGCCTCACTCATTGTAATACCCGGTGGAAAATTCAGAGTTATGCTCACTCATAATTTGGCAGCTTGGTTTGTATGTGTAAATATTTGGGGCATAGATGAAGAAAGGTTAAAGCAAAATAGGGTGATTGAGATTCTGGGCCTTGGGTGGTTCCGTCTACTAAAGGATGATGGACAGTCTCCATGACATTGATCACTTGACCCTAGACCACAAGTAGGAGGTACATGCAGGGGAGTTGGTGGGGCTAATGGAGTGACTCCTCCATCAACCCTGTAGTCCCCACAGACCCACTCACTGGCTTCACTGGAACCTTGTGCTCTTGTACATGCATACCACTTGAGTGCCATTCTCTCTTTGTTCATACTAAGCCTGCCCCAATTACACCTTCCCTGGTCCCACTCACCTGCCCTCTTTCCCCTCTGAGTGTCTAAGCCCTAGAATCACTGGAACACAAGGGCCAATTAATCATCTCCATGTCTTCAGGCTGTAGGGTGACCAGCCATTCCAGTTTGCCCCGGACTGAGGAATTTCTCGGAATGCAAGACTTTCAGTGTTAAAAGGGTGACAGTTGGTCACCGTGATAGGCAGACAAGTGAGCCATCTTTTACAGCCCATTTCAGATGCCTTCTCTTCTAGGAAGCCTTGCCTGGTATCCTCAGCTAGGAGCAATCTTTCTCTCCATTGTACATTTTCTAGAACACCAGTCGTGCCTATCCATGCCTGAATTCCATATCCATCTGTACTTCGGGATTCGAGTGAATGAGGCTTGAGTTTGAGGACATCTTGTTGTGTGTACTGTGTGCATCAGGTGAGGGTCGGACTGGGAGGTGACAGCAGACTGGATGACCTACCTGGGGCTGTGCCATTCAGCCCCTTTCCACAGCTGTAGAGTATGAATTTCTGCAAAGATACCACTCTTTGAAATATTTAATTGCATATAAAGATCTTGAAGGCTGTCTGTCACCTTCTTTTTCCTGATTCTTCTGAAGTTGGCTACTTGGAAAGTAATGAGATTGAACTGAAGATGAAGCAACTGGGGTGCAGAGGTGTAGGCATCACTGAAACGGAGAAACAGCAGGAGAGAGAGAGAAAAAAGGGTGACAGAAAAATGGAGCCAGGGGAGGGAGAGAGTTAGAAGATATGTTCAAGGAGAGTGAGGAGCAAGAGGTGAGAAAACTAATGAGTTTCCAGATGAGAGGGAAAGAGTTGGGAAAGACAGAGATGGGAGCTGGGCTGGGCTGGTACCAGAGAAGAGGGGTGGCAGACCCAAAGAAAAAGGAGCTGGCTAAGAGGAACAGAGACAGCCAATCAAGAAGAGTTTATCCACATTGTCCATGAAGGGGTCTTCCTAATAGGACAAGTGTCCATCTGACACCCTACAAAATCTTTACAACATTATTGATTATATTCCCCAAACTGTCTTTCATATCCCCATGGCAATCTTGTGGTTACCAATTTGTGCTTTCTAATGCCCTCCCCTTCTCCCTCATTCCCACCCTCCTCCCATCTAGCAACCCTCAGTTTTTTTCTCTATATCTCTGAGACTGTTTCTGATCAGTTTGTTCATTGAAGCTGAAGCTGAATTATAATGAATGTCAACTATAATTTAATATATACATAGTCACAGGATATGGAGTACAGCATAGGGAGTAGAGTTAATGGAATTGTAACAGCTACATACAATGTCAGAGGAGTAGTAGATTGGGGGAGGGGAGTTATCACCTTGTGAGGGGTGTAAATGTCTATTACATTGTTTTGTACAACTGAAACTAATTTAAAAAGAAGAAGAAGAAGAGTTTAGCAAAGGCAAAGGGAGGTAAACAGCTGGCAGTTCCAGAATTTCAGTACAGGAGAGGGAGCTTCCGGGGGCATTGGTTGGAATGGAATGGCCCCAATTGGAAGATGCATTGAAGAAACAATCTTCTTAGCTTGTATGATTATTTGGGTGGCTTTGCAGAAGAGCTGATGGAAATTAGGAGGCGCCCAAACTTCCACCCAGATACCCCTTGCTACCTCCTGTCTAAGGAAGAGTGCTGCAGATACAGAAGGCTGCTTAGGCATCGGTTCCCTACCCCCACCCCAAGCAGAGTGCACGGGGTCCCTTAGTCCTGACTGGCTCCTCTCTTGCAGGCTGCGACAGCGACCATTGGGGCCCCCATTGCAGCAACCGGTGTCAGTGCCAGAACGGTGCCCTGTGCAACCCCATCACCGGCGCCTGCGTGTGCGCCGCCGGCTTCCGCGGTTGGCGCTGCGAGGAGCTCTGCGCGCCAGGTACCCACGGCAAGGGCTGTCAGCTGCCGTGCCAGTGCCACCACGGCGCCAGCTGTGACCCCCGCACCGGCGAGTGTCTCTGCGCACCCGGTTACACAGGCGTCTAGTGAGTAAAACGAATAAGATGCGCAGAGGGGTGGGGTGGGGTGGGGGGATCCACCTGTCCTCTCAGCACCAGCTGCTAGGTCCGCACCTGCTCCTTGAGGGTGGGCGGGGTGACGGGAACAGATGGAAGTTCAGGACCGTCCTGATAAAATAGCCTGCCAAAATATCAGATCCCTGCCACTCGGGCCAGAGTGACTGGTGCGAGCTGAGACTATGCATGGATGGGCGCTGCCATAGCCAGAGGAGCTCTTTAAATTCCTCCTAAGAGCCCCTTCCTGGTCAGGGCCCAGACCTTAACATGGAGTTCTCTTTTGATCATAACCCAAATGCCTCTGCTCACCTAGGGCCTGACCATTCCTGGCCGTTTGAAATAGAAAGGGTGAGGGCCCTGGGCAGATATCATGCATAGCTTTGGGGAGTTTTTTGTGCCTGTTCCTCTCCCCTGCTTTCTCCCCTCAGACCCTAAATAGCCCCTCACTCAAGTTCCCTGGAGAGTCTGTATTGACAGGGAACCTCCAAGGCTGCTTAGCTGAGACCCCCTCAGAGGCAAGATTGAAGGTGTATGCGCACGCGCGCGCGCGCGCGCGCGCGCACACCCACACCCACACCCACACACACACACNCCCCCCAATATCATACATATCTATTACAAATCCCTTGACTTCACTCCCACACTATACTCCACGTCCCATGACTATATATATGTATATATGTATATATATATATATATATATATATATATATTCACCTATAGTTGACATACAAGAGTTTTGAAGAGAGCAAAACAAGTGGAAGTCTGATGGTGCAAGGTCAGGTGAGTATGGTGGGTGTGGCATAACATCCCATCCAAGCTCCAATAATTTTTGATGGGTGATCAAACTTGTGTGTGGTCTCATGTTGTCGCGATGGAACACAACTCCTTTACAATTAACAAGCTCTGGACATTTCTGGATGATGGATTCGTTCAAACTGCCCAATTGCTGACAGTACACATTCAAATTGATTGTTTGGTTTCTTGGTAGGATCTCGAAAAACACAACACCTTTAAAATCCCACCACACTGAGAGCATAACCTTCCTCTGATGAATGTCTGCTTTTGATGTCATTTGGGGCGAATCATCACGTCGGGACCAAGACCATTTGCACACCACATTGTTGTAAACAATCCACTTCTCATCACCAGTTATCGGTCGCTTCAAAAAAGGATCGTTTTCCTCATGTTTAATGAGCATATTGCAGATGTTTATACACACTGTCAAATGAACTTTTTTGAGTTCATGCAGAGCCCAAATATCAAGCTTGCTTACGTATCTCAGCTTCTTCAGGTGGTCATGAACACTTGAATGATGGATGTTCAATGATTCTGCAATCTCTAGTGTTGTGTAACATGGGTTTGACTTGATCAATGCCTTTGTTTTGTCATCATCAACCTCTGTGGGCCTCCCTGACTGAGGAGCATCGTTGAGATTGAAATCACCAACATGGAATTTCATGAACCATCATTGGCACTGACGTTGTTGTAGAGCATTGTCACCGTAAACTTTATGCAACTTTTCACAAGCTTGACATGCGTTCTTCCCTTTATGGAAGTAAAACAGTAAAATATGGCAAAA